AGAGGTAAGTCTCTGACACAGTTTGTGTTCTTCATGTCAGAGTCCAGTTCTCACATCTTCATCTTCATCATCATCAAACCCACAGCTCTGATCAACCCAGACGAGTGTCGGTCAGCGATCTTCGGCTGATATTTGAACTTTCAAATGTTAAAGATGGACATCAGACTGCTGAGAAAACACGGTAAACTTTTCATCTATCAGTCAGAACCTGATACAAGTTTGGATCAACAATTATGAAAAATCAGAGTGTCGCTCTGTTGACACACTGACTACTCTGGGGAGTTTGTGCTCCAAAAGTGGTGTCACATTTTTTAAGAAACATCATTTTTTATTAAATATTTTTAAAACATTAAAGCTGACTCAGCTTTCACACTGTTTTTTACCCTCTATATCATTTTTTGGCATATGTTTCAATTCAATTCAGTTTATTTATATAGTGCCAAGTTACAACATACGTTGTCTCAGGGCACTGTACATGAAAAAGAACAATCTAAAGAAGAAACCAGCAGATTGTGTTGAACCACTTCATCACAGTCTCCCATCCTGAGCAAACGGTGGAGAGGAAAAACTCCCTGCTAATCAGGAAGAAACCTCCAGCAGAACCAGGCTCAGGACAGACGGCCATCTGCCTCGACCGGCTGGTTGAGGGACAGGAAAGAGACACAGACAAACACAGAAGAACTGGTCCAGGTTATATGACTCTATAAATATAGTTAAATATAACTCTTGCTCACTTTCAGTTTATTTAATCATTCAGGTGTTAAAATGTTCAGCTCGTTCAGGAGATGCTTTTTACTAAAGGAAGTCACACCAACGGTTACTAACTTCTTAATAACAATCTTTTCTCTTTTTATTGAATTTAGACATTAAACATTTCGGTGTATCAGCTTCCATTACAACAGAGAAGGTTCATATTTCTTTCTCGCAAAGAATAAAACAATATTTTATGTTCTATTAAAGTTTATGTAGGACACTTTTTATGTTTATTTGACTAAAAAGCAACAATTGAGAATGAATTTTGTGTTTCGTTTTTAACTCCCCTCTCCCTGGGATGCCACTTTATCGTGGTTGAGAGGTTTGAGTGTCCAAATGATCCTCGGAGCTATGTTGTCAGGGGCTCTCCTTCAGAGATAGGCTGAGAAGCTCAGTCATCCAGGAGGGTGTAGTGTCCAAGAGTGGGGGGCCTCTTCTCAGGGATGCACAGATGTGATATCTCTTAGTCTCTAGCTTCAGAGCTTTGCACATATGACCACATTAGGAAGAAGAATGCTTAAGGTATACCGTGACAAAATTTATGGTACATCTGTGAAGCCTATAAAGAGCCTTGTATGCCCCCACCCTTGGCCTTCGTCTTCATCTTCTTACTTGGTGAATCATTTGGCATTGAAGGCCACAATTAGGTTTTTGGCTGTAATTTCCTGGACTGCAAAAATAAAGATTCTTGCTGTTCAACCAGCCTGTTTTCAGAGTCCTCTCTTCATTGAGCAACAGCAGTTCCACTTCAACCAGAAGACGTGGTATTTTCACCTCAAGGGACTCAGAGTAGAGCTGCTGCTCCTCCACATCGAGAGGAGCCATTTGAGGTGGCTCAGGCATCTGGTCAGGATGCCTCCTGGATGCCTCCCTGGTGAGGTGTTCCAGACATGTCACACTGGGAGGAGACCCAGAGGAAGACCCAGGACACGCTGGAGGGACTATGTTTCTCGGCTGGCCTGGGAACGCCTTGGGGTTCCCCTGGATGAGCTGGCCCAAGTGACTGGGGAGAGGAAAGTTTGGGTCTCTCTGCTTAGGCTGCTGCCCCCGCGATCCGTCCCTAGATAAGCGCAAGAAAACGAACGGAGCGAGGAACTTTTAACTCCATTTATAAACCAACATGCTTTCATTAAATACTTCTCTTTAGATGAGCTTAAAGCCACCAACAAAAACATATTTTGGAGATAAAATTCAATTTTGTTCATTTGCATGGCACCAAGTCAAGACAGAAGTTTTCTCAGAGTTCTGTAGAAGTTATACAAGATAGCTTGCAGGTAAGAAAACTTGGGTTTCCTCAAACAAAACCAGTTCTGTCAGATGTTTTTCTTAAAGGCTGCTTTGTTTTCCTTCCCCTTTCTGCTTAAAATAACATCACAGAGTTCATCTTGAAACATTCCTCAGTCCTGACCAAACCTTCATATTTTATCATTGAAATTTTTATTGATTTTTAAACATGTTTTTATGAACTAACATAATACAATCCAAATAGAACAAACAAGAAAAATAAACTAGAAGCACTCGGAGAGTGCAAACCTCCACCAAGGCCAATTTCCCGCATCCTGTAACAGAGTTAATGCACAAAAGCAGAGATGGAAACACATTTGCCGAATAAGTTCTGACGTAGTGAACATTTAAGCAGCAGTATGCACGGGGTTTCTTCTCGGTGGAGTCCAATGTGAAAAAAAAAAGAAGAAAGTTAGACTCGTCACCCGACGGCCACTAACTTTTTTTTTGGTAGCATGTTTGTTGGTGTTATCACAGATGTTTTTGACTATCAGAAGCAAAAAACAACAAAAAAGGTCTGTGGTGGGGACAGCACATGTACCTGCACTCCATGGCTGAAAATGGCTGAACAGCAGGGTCTGTGTCTGCTTTCTTTTTGATGTCCCACTGCCCATCACCTGTTTCAGCTGCTGTAGCCAGCAGGGATCAGGTTCTGGTTCTGGTTCTGGTCCGACTGTGGTTGTGTTTGTGGGCCTGTCAGAGTGGATGGGCAACTTCTCCTACCCCTCCTCCTCTTCCCCTGTAGATCATGAAATCAGCTCGTAAAATGTGGTGCAGTTTGCCTCTGTTACGATTATAATCTTTTACATATTCCATGAAAAACAAACAAACAAACAAACAAACAAACAAACAAACAAACAACCTCCGAGTCTGAAGTCCACGCACCTGAGCGCGTCACTCCTCTTCCTTGGTCTTCATCTCAGCTCAGCTCAGCTCAGCTCAGCTCAGGACTCAGAGCTAGCTTCCTCCAGTCAAACGACGACTCGTTTTGACACACAGAGTAACAACACTACTACAAACACTGCACACACACTCACACACTCCAACACGTCTGGTCTAAAAAGTAAACGCTACTACCTTCCAAAATGCTGAAATCAATGCGTTTTCCTCCAGTCTCCAAAGGCCAGAAGCGATCTGTTTACAAGCCTACTGACAATGTGGTGTGTTTGAGGAAATGGGAAAAATAGGTTTCATGGTGCAGTCACGCACTTCCTGGTCACAAAACGTTCTCTAAATGCGCACCAAACGTGTAAAAATGCGCACATTATGGCAAAAATTATTCATCATTAAATCTGGTTTTAACATTACTTTTATAAAGTTTGAAGTCCATGCTGTCCAATCCAGCTCACTGTTTTTTTACAGAAGCCCTGTGAAAGCATCACAGCTTTTGACCTCGGAGAGTTAAAAGAAAAAATAAATTCCTGTGTCTGCATCGTGATCCGGAACATCACCAAAATTTAATGGTGTGTTACTTGGGCCAGTACGCACACGTGGTAAAAATGTCATGATAATCCGTCCACAAGTTTTTGAGTAATGTTGTCCACAGACAGAACGACAGACAGACAAAGGCGACCGAAAACATTACCTCGCCATTGGCGGAGGTAATAAAGACCAAAAGACTGGTGCGCTCACCCCTCCTCCATCACCAGGACAAGACCCATACATCAGCAACAGTTCAAGAACATACAGTCAAAATGACCAAAAACACTTTTAAAATTAACATAAGTAAACAATTAAAAAGTACTAAAAATCTGAAAATCCAAAACTAAATCACTCCCAGTCACCTAATAATCTTACATTTTTTTAAAGAGTCCCAGAAGCTGTTCCAGTCATCGTCCCTGCTCCTTTTCAGTTTTCCAAGCATGGCCTCAAAAGAGGCCGTATCCGCTATTGGTTTAATCCACTCGTTCAGCTCAGGGCTCTTTGTGTTCTTCCAATGTCTCAAGATGATCCTGGACGCTGTCACAAGTTCAGTTGAGACCAATGAAAAGACTTCCTTTGAAATGCCCGGCACTTGATTGGGAACCCATCTCCCAGCAAACACAGTTCTGTAATTTGAGGGACTTCTGAGCCAGACCAGCTGCTCAGAACCTCCAACATTTTGGTCCAAAAAGGTGAAACCAAGGAACACTCCCAAAAACAATGAAGATACAGTACGTACCCCGCTCTTTTTTGCATTTCCAACATAAATTATTTGGCCTCAGTTTCATTGTATGCAGTCTGGTAGGAGTATAATAATATCTATGTAGCACTTTATACTGTATGGACTTACTTCTAGCCTCCTTCACATATTTACCACTATCCAAAAGAACTTCCAACCATTTTTCTTTTGTGTACTCAATACCCAAGTCTTTCGGCCATGAAATCTTAATGTTTGATGATTCCCCGCTAAGATTATAATCTAGCAATTTATAAAACAGTTTATAAAACTGAGAAGCTGTATGTCGATCACTTAGCGTAAATTTAAATTTTGAAGTCACAATGTCTCATCTGTAGATATTTCCAAAAACTTGTTTTACCTTCCAAATGAAATGTACGTTATTTCCCCATAAGACATGAACTGACCATCTTAATACAAGTCTCCAACAGTATTTATGCCACTGCTTCCAAAACACTGGTGTTTTTCCAATACATATAGCAGGGTTATTCCAAAGAGAATGAATACCTCTCTACCTGAGGAGAAATCTTAAGCAATTTATGTACCTTTTCCCAGACCTCACAGGAATGAAAATAAAACTGGATTTGTTGCGTCAACCTTTTCGGATAATTTGTTTTTAGGGTTGAATAAAATATCTGTTTCAATGTGTAACCACTACTGTCCATTCTCACACTTCTCCCAATATTTAGCTAATTTAGTTATTTCGAATGATAAGTAATAAAGTTTTGAGTTTGGGAGTCCTAAACCACCCTTCTCTCTCTAGGAGCACATAATTTTTCTAATTTTATTCTTGCTCTTTTACCTCCCCAAAAAAACCATTTAATCAAATTTTTATATTGGATTGTAATTGGCAACATCATAATCGCATAGTTAAACTGAGGGGTAGTGATCATTTTAATAATATTAATTTTGCCCCATAATGTCAGTTTAATTGTTTCCCATTTTTCAAAATTTGTTTTAATTGTTGACAACATTGGGTCAGGATTTAATAAAGGCAACTCCTCCATGTCTCTACTAATCCTCAGATATTTCATGCCTTTAGGTGTCCATTTAAATAAAAAAAATACTATGTGTGAACAACAAAAAGCCAATAATGGCATAGCTTCAGATTTATTCCAATTTATTGTATAGCCCGAGATTTTTGAATAAGACTATAGGGTCCATCAAATGTGGCAATGATGTTAATGGGTGAGTAATAAGTGCTGAAATATTATCAGCATACAGAAGTACAGTAGTTTATGTTCTTGTTGTTCTGAAAGCCAAACTTCATATTTTAAATAACTCAGACTGATGAAAAGATTATTCATGTAAAAATTTGAGATGAGTTCAGGCCTTGTTCGTTCAAAGCAACAGCAATGATCAGCTGTAAAATCATCCAGTTCATAATTATACACAATAGTTACATAATGTAATTATTTACAATAGTTCTGATAGTGGCCACTGCACCTCATTTCACTCGTAATTTTCTATTTCTTAAATTTTATTGGCTATCAATCTCTATGAAGCTAAAGTGTGTTGTTAAATGTTTTAATCAGCATCAGTCACCAGAAACGAGCCTCGTCTCCAACCAGCAGTGTGTCTCTGAAGAGTGACTCATCCATGGATCCAATAGCTCATTTCAAAGATGGACACCAGTCTGAACACAAAGGGTGAGAACGCTTGACTGTGCTTCCCTCCTTAAGAGCAGAGATTTTGAAATGCCTCCAGTATATTCARAAAATTAGACCTCAAATTCTAATCAGCTGMGGCTGTGCTCAGGAGTTTCATAGCATTGTAGTGGACTCTTAAAGTAAAATTTCACACCATAACGTTGGCTGTTATTGTAAAGAGGTAAAACAGAGTGGAGTGAGGAAGAAGAGAAACCTGACTGTTGTACCAGTTTTAAGTTCTTTTTGTTTTTGGAAGTACATCTTGAATAAAGAGAGACTCCACATATTCATTGTCACGTTTTTGGCCGACTTTCACAACATCAGATATTTTAACAAGCTAACCTGTGTTTATTGGTCCCATGAAAAACAATAAAAAGCCTAATATTTTCATTAATCTATAAATACTCCCCAGACGCCCCTGGACAGAGAATGATATTTGGTCACCCTAGTTACGTATAACTCCTGTAATTTAAAGTGTATCAACTGTTGCATTCTGATACTGACAAATTTATCAAAACTCCAATAATCTTGAAACATCACCTTGTGTTTTTGTTTTGTTTTTAAATCAGCTTCTATCAGCAGAAACGGTCCTCATTTCCAACCAGYTGTGTGTCTCTGAAGAGTGACTCGTCCATGGATCCAATAGCTGAATTCAAAGATGGACACCAGTCTGAACATAAAGGGTGAGAATGTTAACCATCTACAGCATTTGTTCTTTCATTCTATAACACAGTTTCACAAAGAAGAAGAGTTTTATAGAAAAAAAAACATCCCAGTAGAGTTTAATTTGAGAAGGTCTTAGGTTTCATTTTGCAGTTCAAAATTTAATTTTTTTCTCTAATTTCTTTTTTTCTAACACAACAAATACTTGTACACAGGCGCACAAACCCACACATGCTCATATTCCATACATCCAAATACTTAATAATAAAACATGTGCCTCATTTAACTTCAAACACATCACATACATTTTTTAAATACTGTATTTTACATGCTACATAGGTATTCTCAAAATCTTGACTAATCATCACTCACTGTCAATAACTGTCYCTGAGTGTCCCTACTGTTATGATAATGGGCGTGGTTTAATTTTGTTCTCACAAATGCTGCGATGGGTTGTTTAAGGTTTGTCACATGGAATATAAACGGAGCCGGTACCCAACAGAAAAGATATAGAATTTTTAACCAGCTTAAAAGATTAAAGGCAGATGTTGTATTACTACAAGAAATTCATAAATTAAATTAAACTGTGGATGATCTTAAATCTCCTGAGTTCCCTAACGTATTCTCAGCCTGTTATAATTCAAGACAAAGAGGGGTAGCAATATTAATACATAAAAATATCAACTTCACAGCATTAGATACAGTTATTGACCTGAAGTGTAGATATATAATATTGAAATTTTCTCTACTTAGCCAAAAATACTGTATTGCAAGCATATATGGTCCAAATGTGGATGATACGTCATTTTTTTCATGATTTCTTTTCTGTTCTATTAAATCACCCGGAATGCTCGCTGCTTCTTGGAGGCGATTTCAACTTTGGTCTAAATAATAACATTGACAGGACGAATACGGCTGGAGCTCAGCGCAGTTGGCGATCCACAAACATAGTTAAACAATATATGAGTGATTATGGACTTTGCGATGCATGGCGTGCTCTTCACCCTAACAACAAAGAATATACGTTCTTCTCACATGTTCATCACTCTTATTCTCACCTGGACTATTTTTTAGTCAGCAGTTCATTGCTGAAAATGATATTTGGTCACCCTAGTTATAACTCCTGTAATTTAAAGTGTATCAACTGTTGCATTCTGATACTGACAAATTTATCAAAACTCCAATCCCCTTGAAACATCTGGTGCATCAGCTTAAGTTACCTTGTGTTTTTGTTTTGTTTTTAAATCAGCTTCTATCAGCAGAAACAGTCCTCATTTCCAACCAGCTGTGTGTCTCTGAAGAGTGACTCGTCCAYGGATCCAATRGCTSAWTTCAAAGATGGACACCAGTCTGAACATAAAGGGTGAGAATGTTAACCATCTACAGCATTTGTTCTTCCATTCTACAACACAGTTTCACAAAGAAGAGTTTTATAGAAAAAAAAACATCGCAGCAAAGTTTAATTTGAGACGGTCTTAGGTTTCAGTTTTGCAGTTTAAAATATCATCAAAAATACTTCTCAGAACCTCTACTGGGAATGCAGCTTTCAGATAAATCATTGATCCTTGCTGGTTCCTTTTTACCTCTGTTGATTTTGATTTTTGATTTTGATTTGATAGAC